AAATACCATACTGGTGTAAGATCGGTTGTTTGCAGCTGCATCTGAACTTGTTTAAAAACAAACAGTTTGGGGGACAAATGGAAATGGAGGTGGGGCAATTTCTAGCAGGAAATTAGCACAGGAATGAAACAGTATTTTCTATAGATAGGAAACCCTCTCCTGACTCCCTTATTTAGTGCCAATTCAATTACTGCTTTTTGCAAGGGAAAAAAAGGGGTTGGTATTAAGCATGTATTTTAATCATCGTACAGGTAACATCAATTATCACTCTCAAATTTGTATGCATTCCATACAGATCATGCATTGTTAACTCATTCTCACTCACTCACTCTTACAATGCCAAATTATTTTTCTTCCTGACCAACTTTTAAGTCATAGTCCTGGGAACTGGAAGTCTTCAGCTTGACCACTGTATATACCCCAGGATATTCCTTGCTAGTACCTATTCATAAGTCAACTCCTCTTTTCTCAGCGCTATAAAAGTGGCTTACGTTTCTGCCTACTGTCCCTTTAGTTAGTTGCTTCCTTCAGTGGAACTCCTGCTGTTCAATCTGAAAGACATTTTCCATATGCCGCTTTGGTAATTATTCTGCCAATCGATTTTCTCATTGCTTCACTGCTATTCTAAAACAAGAACCCAAAATGTTGGGATTCTCCAATGCTCACCCCTCTCCACTTCACTTAGCTTTTTCATCTAGCGTCTTCCAGATATGTTTGATGTCTATAATTCACAGGCAGCTTTCATAAAAGTGTAGTATGCCTTAACCAACCCTTTTGCATCTCTCTTTAGCCATATAACGGCGAGATTGGCTGGCTGGGTCAGCCAATCCTGTTGAACAGCTGACCTTCTAACACAGTGTTTCTCAGCCTTAGCAACTTTAAGATATGTGGACTTCACATGTCCACACATCTTCAAGTTGCTAAGGTTGAGAAGCACTGCTCTACCAGAAGTCACTGAATTGTGTGTTGGTCCAGAAACCAGCAACACCTAAGTTTAAATCCCAAACCTTGATGAATAAGTCTAATTTTGGAATCCCAATACGAGAACCTGCTAACAGGCATGTGAATTTCTATAAAGTTGTACAAGAGAAAAGAATCAGGCGTCAAAACACAGATGCTTCTAAAAAGTTTCATTTTAATCATGACAGTGAAAAATACAGTCTTGATCATGGATTGTAATTCGGTAGCCTTATTTGTATCTTTTTTTAAAAAAATAGGTGTGTGTGTGTGTGTTTCTCCACTTTCAGCCTGAGTTGACATCAACATGAGGAAAGGGTTGATCTGAGGTCCGTTTCAGCAACACCGTGAACCTGATTTATGTGCTTTGCGTCCTTGGCACATGATGTCATGATGTGTGTGATGACTTCTCTGGCTTCCAGAAGGGCCATAATGGATGGAGAATGGGAGGTATTATATCCTTACTACAGACCAAGATGGGATTTTAATTTTTCCCCCTTGTTTTATTTCTTTGGCCCATTCTTTAAAAATGTTTTTTAATGGTATTACGCCTTTGTTAGACTGCTGTACGGC